GAAGGATACAATTCTATGCGTCGGATTATTTGGACGGTCAGTTCAGCGACTTTTTCCCTTTGATTCTCTCTCGTTGCGATGAATTAATACTACTTTTTCGTTGAATCGTTCACACAAAAAACAAAATTGCAGGGATTCGCGGTCCAAAAACAATTCAGAAATTATTTAGTTCGATAGTTTTCCTCTATTTTGCTTGCCTTCTACCGGCGATCGCATTCGGCGTTCTCAATGACGACAACACTAACGGTGGTATCAGTAAGTTTGCATTCATTAATTATCACTTCTGAATCCAATCCGAAACTTTTTCATTAATTTGAACTATGAATTGAATTGGATCAGCTGCATCAACCATATGATCTGATTGATTTTTGTGCTGATCTCGGAACCGCTCTGTTTCTCAGCCAAGCATTAGCTGAACTTCATACATTGGCTAAACTTCATATAAATGTGGATGAAAAGTAATCATTGAAAACCACTTCTAAACCGTATAATCCTTTTTTACCACATTAGAAATCTTTTCAAAAGCCAATAATCTAATAAAAGCCCAAATTTTAGACGTTCGCAAAGTTATTTTTGCTCAAGCGATTGGCGGCATTTTCTTTGCAATATTCGGCGGACAGCCGGTCATTATATTGCTCACTACCGTACCGTTGGCTATTTATATAAAAGGTTAACGACCAGTAACAAATGTTTATTTTCCTCACAATCAGTGAAGTTTTCAGAAGAATCTCATTTTCAACACTGAAACGAATGATGTTTTCCATATGATACTCAAAACCGTCTTGAGTTAGATCAATTTCAATGATGCGATAGTATTTGTTCGAGCTAATCATTTTGTCGTAAAATTTCAGTAATTTATAAAATATCACAAGAATTGGGTTACGATTTCTTTGCTATGTATGCTTGTGTTGGCTTATGGTGTCAATTTTTCCTTATCGTTTATGCGTCAACCGAAATGTGCAGTCTAATGAAACTCGCCACTCGGTGAGAGCTTTTTCAACTTTATTTCCTCTCGGGTTTAGCTGCAAATAGCCTATTCTGATACTGTTTAATACATTTCATTCATTCTGCTCGATTTCATGCTGAAGATTCAGTATGCATTTGAATACATCCGAGGTGAATCATTCTGTTTAGTTGTATTACTGATAAAGAAGAGTAGAATTGATCTTTGTAACTGATCAAATCACAGTTTCACAATGTTGCTTAAGCAATATCAAAATTGGATAAATCAAACATTGTTGAGTTAGCAAAATTGAGAAACACATATTTTCATGCCTCCTGATTCATACCTCATGAAATTTCAGATCTGCCGAGGAGATGTTCTCGTTGTTTATAGCGATTGCCTTCACATTCGAAAGTATACGTGCGATTCACACAAGTTTGTCGATTGTTTTCTATTTTTATCAAATCCTGATTGCATCTATCTATCCCAGTCACTTATCCTTCCTGTGTTACCTACGGTCATTTTCTGGTTACGTGAACGAAGAGAGCTGAAAGCGTTCACGGAATGAACAATCCAATTTTTCAATCCATACCATTTTGTTGCTTCATCTCATTGACAGTGGATTCGAGCAGTAGTTAGTCTTCGTTTAATTCAAGGTTTCAAGAACAATTATCACAATTGTGATGAAGATCCGAGGAGGCGGAAGAATGCAGATGAGACTAGCATCGGACTGCGGTTAAATGC